CCATGGAGTGCTCGGGTTAATTTGTTAGTGCAAATGGAACAACCAATTGGTCACCACCAGCAGAGTTCAGGTCACCATCAGCAGTGTTCAGGTCATCATCAGCAGTTTTCAAACCATCATCTGCATTGTTCAGGTCATCGTCAGTAATGATAAAGTCATCGCCAGCAGTGTTCACACAGTGTTCAGGTCGTGCACTCCTCCGGACGTTGTCCGGTGTCAATTGGTCCTGAAAATGACCTGGGAATATCTGACGTATAACCATGTATCTAACAATCTTCGATAATGCGGTGGCCAGAGCATCAGCGTGCGAATCGGAAGATCGAAGCTTCGGAGTTCGAGGCTGCTCGAAACCTTCAACGCTGTTGTGACACACGCCACAAAACACACGACCATACAAGCATCACTTACTGTTCCGGGTCGTCCATTCGCCTGACGACGGGCCGGGGCAGGTAACCCGGTCACGGAACGAAACGGCGTGTAAGCAATAACTCTACTCTCGGGACGCTAAGTGGTCTGATTACTTATCCCATCAGATTCGACTTGACCCGAGTTGATGGAGAGGCCCCTGATTGTCCGGGCCTAGCGTGCTGCTGGGTTGTTGACGGCTACGAAGTTTGCGGAAGGTTCGACGTGAGCGGAGATTTCGGAGGGGGTGGGAGGGGGGGGGGATAGTGGTTGTGCCAGGGCATCCGCTCCTCTTTGCTCAGTCTCGTTTCATGCTGCATACCCGCCACGCCCCGTTTGTCCGCGCAAGCTACATGCACCGGTCATGAGTGAGCTTAAGTGCCCCCTGACCCCGCGACCCCATCCGAACGCCGAGCACATACACGTACCCCGTATAGGGGTCGCTTTGCGTAGTAAGTCTCGGCGAAGGGCGCAAAGTGCATGCACTTTTACCGAACCATAATCTACTACCCTTCATTCTATGACCCTAAAATGGTCATTACTGGCCGAAAGAGCTCTAATCCGAACCGAACAGAATCGTGCCGGTACGAACCGCTTCTTAACCTGTTCGTCACCGACTACGAACTTGATCTCAGTGTCGTTGACCGCTTAGTCCTTTTAGCAGTGCTCGCATGGATCAGCCAGTCTCTGACTGTAGGCCTGTGCTCGACTCCGACTTTGAGTCAGAGTCAACTGTGGAGTTGGTCAAAATTTGGGTAAGCCAACGTTAAAGTGACTGCGTCAAGAACATCGTTGAGTATGAGCTGAGCCAGGTATTGTTACCATGGTCAGTTTGGAGTCAACTTCAGCTACGAAACGTAGGCGGTTACCAACCAACATATGGATGAGGCAGGACAACAAGAACGTATCACTTTGGGTGCCCAATTCTCAGTGCCCAATATCAACACTTTTTCAAGCAGGCGCAATGCATGCCTTTAGTGGCTATATGCTGTTCCTATTAGCTGGCGTCTTTACGATTCAAGTTGAACAATGTGAAAAGCTGTCTTTTCGAGTAACACACAAAAAAGCGTTCGGAATCAACTCCTCTAGAGTCGGCTCCAAGACTGGGCAATACCTTCATGAGTCAGAGTCAAAGCCGACTAGATTTCTTATCAGACAGCCAAAGGGAAGTTGAGGATTCAACTCCAACTTGTAAAAGTCGACTGCAGTCGGGGGAGAATCAACTGCCATCTGCATACTGCGAGTCACTCGGAGTATGCAGTACTCAGTACTCGGAGCATACTCACTGTGCCCAACCGTAGTCGAGCGCGTGCCTATCTAAACGTCGCCAATGTTTCTTAAGTCCAGCCGCATGATCATCAGCTTAGACAGATAACAAATGTACCCTCGTATTTTATACTGGCAGATTTCAGGGTCCGCGGAACTCCGACAGGCATGGTCTGAAACAGCACAATACAATAGAAATAGGGGAAAAGGTGGCCTAAAACATTATCAATGATATTGGAATGACACAAAATTGTCAACTTTAATTCATTCCGTGAGTGATTCCAAAGAACATCTTTTCAGCCATATCACACGCAAAATGACTGCAGTATTGCCACATCTGCACAGTTTGATTTACGTCACGGCACTGCAACGTCATGGCTCACCTTCGTCCGTCATGCTGGTGCCGCCCGAGTACGCAGAACTTCATGGGCTCGCGCCACCCGAGTACACTGAACTTTATGGGCTCACGCTAAAGCCAAAACCTTGCAGAATTATTGCAGCGTTAAGGACGAACCCCAGACAAAAAGAACGAGTCATGTAAACAAGAATGTGACGTCCTACCTTTCTAGATACCCAGTTGCCCGAAATATAGCTGTTTGATCGGTACAACCACTTGAGCACAAATAACCTCACTGCGGGGTTATTGTCATGTCCCACTCACGGGGTGCCGGTAGTGTAGTGGTTAACGCGTCTGCGTTAACCGCTGCGCATCTAGGAAACCAGAGGTATTGGGTTCGATTCCCCGCGGTGCCCGCCCTTCCTGCCAGGGTGAGAGGCAGGCGACGCCATATAGTCTCAGCAGCTGAGTGCGTCGTAAACCCCCAATGATACACACACACGCATGTCCGACTCACCATGTCGCGGATAAGCCGCGGTAGTCTGAACCGTTAGGCTTCATCCATTGCAAAATATATCCTTCCAGGCCCGATTCATGCATCGGTCCAGGGCTCTTAATCATTCTATGATTTCTGGAATCCTGCACGGATGACCCCAGCCTCATGCGCTCTGGTAGTGCAGGGCCCAATAGACAGGTTGATGAGAGGCTTTTGAACCACATCAGTTCCTTTCTTCGTTCGGATACAGTGACGTGCTGACTGAGATGGTAGTTTGACTGACTGTTGATATCAGTCAAACTACCCATCTATTTGACTGACTGTTGACTGACTGGTGGTGGGTAGCTTTGACTGAGACAACAGTTTGAGTAGTAGAATCAATATCACATTTGTTCTGCTGCAGCTAGCACTGGTCTACGTCTGCGTGGAGCGGAGCGGTTCGTTGGTAAGTGGCAGATATTGACCAGATTTTGCCTCTTTAGAGGGTGGATTTCACGGTCTGGGAGTATTCTGGCACGCTGGCCAAACTCAGCGTGAACGCAGAGTTAGAACAATGCGGACACGCACTAAAAGCCGGGAACATCTTAGAAGACCATACTTTCGCCTCACAGCGACTTCTTCTAGCCATCAGCATTGTTTGGGGCCAAAAGAGTAAAGATATAGGTCACGTGCCGGTCATTAAAATCTGCCAGTGTGTATGGGCCGAGCGCGTGCACGACACGACATCTTCGCATGTAAGGCATTGCTTTTTCTGGCACGAACAGAGCGCTATGACATATCAGCGCTGAAGAGAACGCGAATAGTCATAGAGAGGGCCCATTCTGAACAGAGGTCAGGGGCAGGCATCGCAGGAGAAGTAGCGCCCTTAAGCAGCACCTTCAACTAGCACAACACGAGACGTATGCATGAAAGGATGTGTCCTGAATATATCTCCACTAACAAAAGCCAAATGCATGCACCATTCTGGAAGCTGTGGCCATCGACTTATGTCTCGTTGAACATGTGGACGCCTCAAAACGGCTGCATTCAGAAGCAGGCACACAACTGAACATAGCATGCCATGCATATCTGTTTACAAACATCCAACTGCTCCCAGCAGATGGGCCTGCTGCAGCGAGACGTCGACGTGCCTACGTGTAGTATGTAACGGGTGAGCTGTCATCGATTTGAAGGTTCCGGGCCCCGTGTTCAGTGCCGTCTGCGCTAGGTGATCAGCTCTACTGTCGAAGGGTAACAACCATATTCGAAATTGTTTTCTGCGATGGCGTATGTTTATTATGAATGTTGTCACATTTTCACAAACCCACAAAAGTAAAGTTTACAACGTTAACAACGGCCGTTGGGAATTAACTGCATCCCGTAAGCTGCATCGCACAAATCAAAGCGAGGCTATAAAAAATAATGATCTAAGTATAATATAAGCCCGTCCACAAACTGTTCTTAAGAAAAGATTTAATTCTGCTGCATGTTCAACCCGCCTAATCTACACGCAGCTTTGCAACAATCTTAAGACCGGCAAGGCGATCAAAATAAGTCACTAGTTTGTGCAAATTTGTCCACATCAATACGACACAATACGAAGTCACGAGTGAACGTGCCTTCGCCTAGGCCATTGAACATCGGTCTCACGTCTCTGTTAGAGAGACGTGGACGTTGACCACCGAGACCTATGGACGCTAATGGTCGGACAAGTACGAGGCTCAATTACTGATGTATTCTTCGACTTCACTTTCACCTGGTTGAGCTACACTCGCGCCGACGTCCTGTGGCCTTTTGTGGTGACATGCTTTAGGGTGCACCAATCGCAGAGGCCACTTTGCGTGCTTCCTGTCAGAAGAGGATGTCAATGCAAATGCCATAATTCTAAAGTTAGATATCACAATGCAAATACATGCGACAATGAGAGTGCCAATGCCTTGGGGACGGGGTCGGAAAATCAAACTAAGCTTTTGATCTTTGGATTTTTTTACGTCGTGATGGGTGTTTCACTATTGCCGTATCCATTTGCGGCCATCACACACTGCCTCACTTCCTGCCATAGCGGCACCTTAATCACACGGAACTTTTTACAAGCTGTGAGCTTAATTGCCTGGTATGTTTTTACACTGACACGGTCTATAGGAACAGTCTATTCTACCAGTCAGTCGATTTTACAGGAACGCCTATTTCAATTAATTCATCAAAGAAAATGCGCATAAAGAAAGCAAGGAACAACTGTCGTCGCCCCGGCGCCGACACTCAACACCGTCCCCCACGCAGCTGCGTGCTGTATGTCCCAGACCTTGTTTGCCCGATGGGCGACGACGTAGCGACCTTGCGCGACCGGGGCCGCTTGGGGCAGTTGGCAGGGTCTGCGTCGGCGCGGCGCGGTGGGCGCGGTGACGGACGGCAGCCGCCCCGCGCGCCGCCGCCTCACCGCCCCCGGCCGTCGGCACAACCTACTTTTCATCTGAAGCGGCGTCGGCCGGCCGGCGCCAGTGCCCGGTCCGCCGCCGCCCGGTCCGGTTCTCGCGCACGCCGCCGCCGCCGCCGCCCAGTGACTGTCGGCGACCGCGCCGCTGCGCGCAGAGTCAGCAGCTCCCGTGCCCCAGTGCGCGCTGCCCGCCCGGCCGTCGGGGACATGCGAGGAGCCCGCGGCGGCGCCCTGCCGTGAGAAGCGAGCGGCCCAGCCGAGCCGGGCGGACGAGTGCGCCGCCACGGGACCGACATGCGCCAGGCGCCCTCCGGAGCCGGCCGCACCTAGCCAGAGAAGGCGCCCGGCGCCCGTCAGGTACGTGTCAGCAGCGGGCCCCGGTCAGACCCGTTAGCCGAGTGGCGGCCGGCCGCGGGTCAAGGCCGGCCCGGCGGCCCGCCGTCCTGCGCCCAGACGCGGCTCCCGGCTGGCGATACCATCGCGCCGTGCGCGGCCCCGGCCTCCTCGGTAAGGGTTTTGCGCCAGCCACGCATTACCTCCGCCAGGGGTCATCTATGGCCCAGCTGTCGCGGCTTAGGCGCTGGCGGGGTGTAACATTCCTCAAGAGCCAAACAGGTGCCCGCACGGGGACGGTTCCGGCCGCCGGCGGGGCGCGCCGCGGCGCCGGCCGGCCGGCCCGTCTTCCGGCCGGAGTAATTGGGTCGCCGTGCACGCGGCGCGGCGTGCACGCGGCGCGCCGGCCGCCCAGCGCGGCGGTCGCCGGGCCTGGCGACCGTTAGCGAGGCGGCCGCGGCGGCAGCGCCCGGTCCTTCCGGAGCTGCCGCAGACGGAGCGAAAGGCGGAGACGGCGCCGCGAGAGAACTGTGCCGCCGGAGAAACCGCCCCGTATGGCCGGCTCGGTAGCGGCGGCGTAATCGGCCGGCTGCGTGTCGCCCGCGCCTGGCTGGACCGGGGGCTGGATGGTGTGCGCGGATGTCCGTGTTTGTGCGGGTGTACGATTGAGATGCCTGCCACAAATGCAAGAACCGGTTGTTGGAGGCTAAAAGGAGTTTTGCAATACTACTGTAGTCCGCGGCACAGCGATCCGTAACAATGATTACTGCTGATGCAAGGAATGATGATGATGATGACAAGGAATATTGCATGTTGTTGATCTTTCATTCGGTACCTGCCTCGAGTTCAAAGTTTCATGCAATCCTGGTAACGTCGGTACTCTTAGCCGGAATACACATGAGCTACAGGATCACAGCTTAAGAGTGCATTATTGATAGTCGTCTGTCTCCGACCAAGAGGCACATTTCCGTTTTTTGCAAGAGCGTGCGTAATGATCTCCTGTCAGATAGGTCAAGCTGGGCAGCGCGGACTGCAGCTACAGGCGCTTTCTCTGCAACCCTGGTCATAGCGCATAAAATGGCCGTCCGGGCCACTGTCTCTAACAGTGCGTGCTCGAGGATAACAGCTCCTGTAGGAGGGACGCGCGGCATGTGCCCGGCTTGAGGTCCATTGTCAGCGGTCGACACTACGGCACATGTGCTGCCGTGGCCGGCACCGGCATTGTCCGTCTGTCGGCCGGAGCCGGGCACCGCACGCGACAAGCACGCGCAGTCGGCCAGCAGCTGACGCCGGTGGGCCGACGTCGCCGCGCGCGGAACCCGACGACGGTCGGAGGAGGAGAGTGCTCTTTCGCGGTCTGTCAGTCGCACCCTGACAGAAACTGTTCGGTTATCCCACGCTCCAGATCAAAGTGCAAGTGTCGACTGCTGTCGCTGTCGTGAGTCGTTAACCACAGGGAAACAATGGAGTGCAGGAAAGCTCTATGGCGTCTTCGCTTGATTGATTATCTGAACCAGGCAGGACGCAGCGATCCTATCGTCCGTTACGTAGAAACTTGTTCCTTCTTGACCCATAGAGGTAACAACTTCCGCATGATCGTAAATCCTTTTGTGCTGTTGTATTCCCATTACGAACGATTGTAAACCTGAGGTTCTGAAGTACATGGGGAGAGAGAAATAAAAGTCAAGTTAATTTGAGTATAAACATGATCGTCATGAAAGATGCATTTGGGGCTTGAGACCCTCTGACTCATTTCAGTAACACAACACCCCGCTTGATTCCATCCCACCCTATAGTACTGACCACCAATGTTGTCCTGAGCATGTGGGAATAACTATTCACTATAAGGTCGATAATGGTGTATAAAAAATGGATCTCAGTGTCTCTGGTAAGGTGCCTCAGATACCCGAAACTTTGGACAAGTCCCGCCGGCTATGGCCGAGCCTGTGACAGTAATAGATACCACAAATAGATTCATCACGGATAGTCATTATAATTTGAAAACGGTTGCCACAGGTCCTGGGCGGACATCGCGTCATCTTAGGTCCTGGACATCATATGTCATCTGGAGTCTTAGACACCACTTCACATGGACAGTCACGGGCGGCCCCGCGCGGTGATTTCATGGATTACCACCCACAATTGCTGGTGCTGGACATCACTGCTGCCGACCTGGCTCAAACCAGACCGGAAGAGCAGCGCATTGGTGATGATGCGAAGCGCCGCCATAGGGCTCTGTGCGACGGATTAAGGCCGGCCCAGGAAGCTGTAATCTCCGTTCGCGCGTCCGCCAGCTCGTCATCCTTTCTCTTGAGGAAGTGAAACCGACGCCGGGGCCAGCGTCGGGCAGCGCAGCCACGGCCGTCAGGTGGCCGCGTGCGAGCTGGCGCTGGCCGGCCGGCGCGCGACACACGCGGCGCGTGTGACACCTGGCCCGGCGCGTGACACGGCCGCCGGTGGGGGCCGCCGCTGTGCGCGTCTCAACTGGACTGGCGCGACGGGCGCCAGCCGAGCGGCGCCGCGTCTGGCGCCGTCGGTCGACCAGAAAAGAAAGCTGGGCATGGCGACGGCGACCGGTGGGCGTCGGCGGGCTCTGGCAGCCGGCGGCAGCGGCAGCGGCGGCACGCGTGTAACTCTGCTGTTAATTGGGGACGTGGCTGCATCTCCAATTAACAACAGTGCTGTAATGGGGGATATAGCTGCATCCCCAACATCCCAGAACATTAACGTATGGTCTCTGGCGTCGCACAAAAAGAATGGATCTCAAAATATCGTCTCTCTCCCCACATGTTGTGTAAAGTTTTGTTTCTGCACCTTGCGGCCGCTGCGGCGGTCGGTTCATCGTGCCAAACCAGCCCCAGTCCGGGCATCATGCGCTCCGTGCCGCACGCCGCCTGCAAATCGGGTCGATCCCATTTCCACGATTTCCCACATTTCATCCATTCGCCCACTCGCTATTTCCTGTTGTGCTGTGTTGGTTGGAGTGCATCAGTTGCTATCTCTATGGAGGAGCGTCGGCGGCTGGACGTCGGCTGGTCAGCTGACCTGCTGCCAGGCCGATTCAATGCGCTCGCGCTGGACGCAGCGTCGCGTCGGATCCTCATTACACACGAAGGGCGCGGCGCGGAATTGGGTCGGAACGCGGCGACGGATTTCCGCTCGGGCGCCACTACACGTGCCAGCGGCCGGCGTGTGGCGAGTGCGGGCTGACGGCGGGGCGGGCGCCGCGAGAGGCGTGCGGCCGGTGCGGCCGGCCGGCCGGCTGCAGAGCCGGGAACAGTTACGCAGCTGCTGCGCGCCAGCCAGAGCGGGGCGGAGACAGCGGGCCCTCCGCGTCCGGCACGACGGCGGCGCCGGTGTCGCGCGCGCCGTCCGTCGGGCGGCCTTTTAAGGGAGACGTCTGAAAATGTGCGCGGCTGGCTCTCTTTCTCGGTGTCTTGTACCAGAGAGCAGATTTTGTCAGCCGCCGTTACGTCACCCTTCCTCCCACACCGGTAACGGTGGTGTCAGCCGAGCCACCGGGCTTCACGAGCTGATCCCCGAGGCCAGATGGCGCACCGACTGAGAACGCGGTCCGTGGACACGCGGCTGTCAACGGTAAATCGTGAAAACGGCACTTCAGGCTGTCTGATTAAGGCCAACATTAGCCTGACACCGAGGGGGAAAACGGAGTGCGCCAGTCTTGAGGCAGGAGCCGTGCAAGCACAGGCAGTTCGGGGTGCCTGGGGAGCTTGGACCCCATTCGCCAAACGACACCTGGGGAACCCGAATGACCACCAGCCACGTCAAAGCCACGAACCCGGTTCTTACCCAACTCCCTGCACTTGACTCATCGCTCTGACTGAAGCAGGTCAGCGTCGCTACAACACTGTGAGTCACTGGAATTTATTTGGTGGCTTCCGATCACGTTCACTGGTGGAGCTTTGTTTTGCATTTTACCGGAGTTCGTGCGGCTACAACAACGCACGTGCGTCACGCACCCACACACATCTTCAACGCGGCAGTGACGGCATCCGGGGTGGGTCAAGGCCATCCCTGCCACGCAGCACCATCGATCATGGGCTGTTAGCTTCTGACCGACACCACAAAGTCCCGGCAGCGTCCGTCACGCGCTCAGACGCCCGCCGCTGGGCGCCGAAAGTGCAGCGGAGCCGTAACTCAGGGCAGCGGGGCCGTAACTCTGCGTGGGCAGCGGGGCCGTAACTCTGCGTGGGCAGCCGCGCCGCTCCCGTTAGCGGCCGTGTTTACCTTGCGTGAGAGCGTGCGCCGCCGCCGCCGCCGCCGGCGCCGGACCCGGTTTCCCCCGGCGGGCGCCGTGCTTACGGTACTGGCGTCTGGTCATCCCACCACTCTGCCACTCCGGCCGACGGCACTCTGCGCTCCGCCGACACTCCGGGCTGGAGCGGAGGTGCCCGCGGCCCACTTCGCGGCGGGATAGTGGCTTGTGCCGTCCGACTGTTGTGGTTGCCGGGAAAGTTGGGACCGGCATTGCAGTCTCCGGATAGTGATTGGTGTCGCGTGATGGTCTCCGCGTGGTTCCATTTCCTCACCCAGAAGCCAGCGTGAAATCGCTACAAGTCATGGTCACTATGGCTCCAAGCCTGTCGACCTGGTTCAGGTTAACGGATTGGCTTTGAATGTAGGATTTGGCTGAGGGCGATTTGGTTAAATAGCACGTGCCAGTGCAGTTGTTACTGAGCCTCGACCACTGCTCAGCGGCGTCACATGCGCCAGCGCGGTGCACCAGAGCTGGACGAGCCGGCGCGCGGGCGTCGTCGCAGCCTCCAGCGGCCGGCCGGCCGGCAGTTCAACCCCAACACGCCAGCTCGAAATGCCAACAGTCACGCGAACCACGCCGTAGAATTTGCTTGTGATTTCTGTTTCACTGCACGCCATAATTAAGCAAAAACTGCGTTTCTTTGCACAATGCTATAATCTAAACCTTAATACAAACAAGGCCGCGGGCCGAGTGGGTCTCACTTGACCCGTGCTAGCAAAACTTAACTTACACGGTCCAGCCCAGGGCCCAGGTGTCACGCTCTTCGGCGCATAGCATCTCTGCAAGCACAGCCTCAGGCAATTCTTAGCAACAAGAGCCACAGTTCTTTCAAAGTTGGCGCTGCATAGGCTGTTGGCATTTTAATGCGCACTGTCTTGACGAGCTTCTCTGCAACGTTGCAGCGTCACCATGGTTTTACTTTTCCATTCAAGTAAGACGGAAAAGGGAATGTTTTCGAATTATAAAAAGCTAAAAAAAGCGGATTGAAGCCAGGTTCCCGACAGCACCGTGCCGCATCGACACAACACCAGTCGATGCCGACGGGGGAGAAGATGAACAAAGCGCGTGTGTTGATACCTGCTGACCAAAAGACGCTATCGTGTTGAAAGGATGGATCCACTCGTGTTCGGGAGTTTCTAAAGATTTTTTTTTGCTCACGGATCAGAGCATGCGTGTTAGTTCTCGGCAGCTGAAGCACATTTTACGTGCGTCGGAGGCAGACCGAAAAAAGCTCAATGCCCCCCCCCCTCTTTTCAAGAACAGCCTGAAATGGGACGCGCTGTGGCCTAAATTGAGAAAGACTGGGCTATGAAATGTGCATATACCAACTGTACAGTTTATGTTGAACAATAACCATCCTTGTCATAATTGCCAAAATTGTAGACAGCCCTAATTTCACCATTGCGGTTGTTGAAATTGCCAGGATTTTCCAGGATCAGCGGCGGTAAGCTTCCGATTCAAAGAGATTAAGCTAAATCTTGTTCACTCATGACCATGTGAGCTGCCTCAAAAAGCCGAGCTTTCTCAACATGAACAACGCTTACTTGAAAAAGTCGCTTAGACTCGTGGCATAGCTCTTCGCATATTGAAAGTCAGCTATTTGAAGGCCGCTTATGTAAAGATTATTTTCAGCATAAGAGCTCCCACCTAATAATGGCGAGGGACTTAAACCTCAAAGCCTTTGTTGTTCGCGTCAAATCCTTAACTCATGCTGTCTGAAGATTTTTGGGCGAATGATAAAAATCAGTACACTTTCGCCTGATACACCCACGGAAGACAGATATTCCAATGCAGTGGTCTAAGCAACTAAAGTACAAGTGTGCGTCTATCTGCGTGTGCGCATGACAGGCCAACTGCATGCTTTCTCACGCGTTGCCGTATTCAGTTATGTAGAATTTGGTTAAATCTACAAGCGGTGATATACTTCTACTTTCTCCTCTCACGCTGCAAGGGGCACCTTCATCGTGCATCTTAATAAACTCAAAAATTTAAAAGACTCCTTGCATGCTGTTTGTTCAAGACTGAAACCTGATACGCATCTCAGTCACCGGTCATTTTCAGTGGCCCAAAATGATTCGCAACCTACTTTCCACCCATTTTCTGCCAAATCATCGGCTTATTTGTCTGTTCAAGGTTGTGTACACCCACCTCATGCAAAACCATCAACCAAATCGGCAACACAAAGTTTCTCCGACGTCGCTCTCCTGAACTCACTCGGACGAGCCGGTCATAAAACTGGGCTAAACGAAGGCTTCCTCGGCACGCCACAGTTTAGCTGAAAGCTGACCGATTGCGGTGTGTAACGACCGGGCCCTCGCTCCGGTTGCCGCAGTGCGGTCGCCCTGTCCAGTCCCGGGCGATGACACGAATCACGCGCCGCCCGGCCGGACCAGCGCTGCGTTCTCACGCGACCTGGCCAACCGCGCGACGTCACAGTTCTCAGCCGGTTTCGATTTCGGCCGCGCGGCTTTCGACGCTCGACTGGAATATGGCGACCCGATTTGGCCGACGGTCCGCCGCCAGACCGTGTAACTGAGGCGCCACCGCTGGCTGCGACGGAGCGGCCGCGTCCGCCGAAATAGAGCACTGGGTTGGCGACGATGGACAGGCACTTAGACGGCCGCCGTGATGGCGTGGGGTAATGCGACAGGCGGCCAGCTCCTACTCCGAAGCATGCTTTCTATCAAAAGTTGCAGTCACGTCGTGGGGAAGGACAGCTTGTGGATAGGGCGTGAATCGTACGGGTCTCGTTCTCTGAAGCGTCCTATCTCAGATGAGGTCTCCTGTCCAACTAATCCGTGAACTAGGTCTCTTCCGCATCTCACTGTCGTACGGCTCTTGCGCTGGCTATTCCTTTCAATCCTTTGGCAACCGATCCCACTGGCGTGGGCGCGGTTTTTTTTGGCCTGCCGCGGCCACACAGGGTCCAGTGCTGTGAATCACCAGGACGACGAGTGGAAGCACCGATAGCTTTTCCCACAGCTTTGATGAATCGGCTGTGACGTGTGTGGTGCTGGAAGGCTCTGAGATGTGACCTTTGCGACTCAGATGAAAAAGTCACAAAAACGGGGAAGCTGAATCTTACAAAAAGCTGAACCAAACGGTTAAAACGAATCAAGCTGAGCACACAAATTTTTCCACACCCTTTTGTTCTCCGCAGCGAATGACCAAAACCCAACAATCTTATGCCAATTGCCGGCCTCACCCAAGAGGTTGTGCCGGAGCCGGCGTTTGCGAGCTCACCTGTCGGCGCGTGCCGCTGTTTGCGAGCCCATCTGTCGGCGCGTGCCGCTGTTTGTGAGCTCACCTGTCGGCGCGTGCCGCTGCGCGCGGGGTGGTGACCGTCGATGACCTGTGTTTCAGGGTGCGAAATGCAGCTGGCCTCATGGAGTCACCCGCTGCAGCTGCACTGGCTGCTGATCGCTGCTGCGGTCGCTGCCGTTCACGGCAGGAATCTAGACTACGGAGGTCAGTGGTTTTACCCGCAGGGTCCAGACTGATTGATGGTTATGTGTTACCTATGCGCTCACCGCGAACGTAAGTAGCTTGAATAGATAAATGGAGACATCTCACGCCCGTTTGAAATGGTGAGGCCAAACTCTTCATGTCGCTAACGAAGGTCATGAATTATCGATGCACTTAGATGTGGCGGTGAGTTCATCAGAGCAGTTCAGAAGGCGCATCAGCAACAAATGGACAAAGTGGAGCTGGGTTCCCTCAGTCCAAGGACAAACCGACTTTTATTTAATCTTGTCACCACATTTAGACGTTCACAAAAACTTTGAAATGCCCTGTTTGCGGATACACACTGACTATCGCTGGATGAGGAGGTCTCACAGGCCGTCCTGAGGGTTATCCAAACGATCTTAATTCACGAAAGGGATCACACCTAAATTTTTCAGAGCCGAGTTTCAACATTTGTCACCCTTTCTGCGAGCATTCGGGTGCATCTTGCGACTCACATTTCACAAACCTCTTGGACTAGATGCCGTCAGTTTCATTTCACGTTTAAGCACTGCGTGGCGAACGTCTGTCGTACACTATGCGTCCTGAATGCTTTCCCGGTAGCCCCTTACAGTATCTTGTACTGCGCAGCAGTTCCGTCTCATGCAGGCAGTTATCTCGCATCATGGAAGTGCATGCTAAGTCAACTGCAATTAATTGAAAAGTTTTTATTGAAAGTATGAAATTGTTTTTGTAATGTGAATCATTCCGGAGAAAAAGGAACATCGAAATATGACTGGACTCATGTTCAACATTCTAAGAGGAGATTGAACAGACTTAAACCACCACTAAGCGAGGGAGGTGGATGCCACTACCCGGGTGGCATTCCCGAGACCACGAGAAAAAGTGGAGGGGCAGCGCCGCGGCATTGGCGCGGCTGATCATGCATTCTTCGGGAATGATGCAAAGAAAAGCTGTGTGCTTTATCCTGTCAGGCCGAAACGCCATGTCATGACACATCTAGGCCTGCAGATATGTTTTGCGCCAACTGCCTGCGCTTTTTGCTTTCTTTTGCCGTTTATTAGCGGTAAATAAAGCCTTTGTGTGCAAAATCGATGCAGAATTATGCCCTAGGCACACAGGTCACATTCAATAATAAGCAATCTATCAGAGGTCAACCGAGCTTAAAAACTTATGATGAGCTTGTTCCACCTGCGTTCGTGTCTAGGTAGCTCTCTTGCACTGTACCTGATTCAGAACACTTGGTTGGGAAAACGACTGTTTCTGTCCGGAGAAGCTGCAGCTTTTACCTCATATTCCCATGCAACGTTGACCTGACCTGGTGGGTCACCTGTTGACCAAGAACCAACAGTCGGAATCACTGAATGTCTTGAGCACCAAGTCGTGCTCTGGCATTGTTTTGCGGCTTCAGCTCAGCTGAGGGCTAAATGGCGGCAGGATGTGCGTCACCCTTCGCCAACGACGTCAGTCGAAATAGCTCCCGCACGGCAAGGGTTGGGCCATCTTGAATCTAAACGTGACGCATGCTGTACCCACTGCGCACCACAAGACTTACTTATCACCCTGCCGGCCACGCATAGCTCCCGAGACAACGTGATGGGACTCACACACATGAGGTTCACTTCACACACACACATCACACACACCAGAGTGATTTGATTCGACATGACACAGGCTGCGCCCACCGGTGGGACACAGCGATAACGATCGGTATGCCGCCAGTGTGCCGGGGGCCACACAGCATCGCTTTCTTCGCTGGCGCAACACACAGCTCTGAAATTCGAAAACGGGTCTGATTTTACCATTTTGAACTGGTTTGAGCCACCAAAGGTCACCTGAGCCGACATCCGGTGCCCCTGATCTACATCAGCTTGAGGCAATCTGAACTGTGGTGCTCTCGCCCTGGCCGTAGCGTGCTCATCCGCTTACACAGCTGGAGACCTGTCCGAGCTCCTCAGTCGGCTGCAGTGGACAAAACAGCACGGCAGGCGGAGCTGTGCTGGATGAATGAGTGCAGAACGATACCAATGTGACGCGTCACTCGCTAGTAGTATCTTGAAGTGGCAACGCACGCTCGAAGTAGTTCCAGCGATTATTTTCCATATATCTGCCCTCGGCTCCCCAGGTTATCGTCTGATTTGTCCGCCCCCAGATGCGGCGCGACGGCCAATTATGGTGTTCGTAGCTCATTTTCGAGTGAAATTTGAGGCTCGTCTGAAGCCGCACGGTGGTGACCGGAATGTCAATTACCCCGTGAACTTGTACCAGACCGCGTAATTGACGGGCGTCGAAAGTTGGGAGCTGCCTCTACCGACATTTAGTTTTGACTTCGCATGCTCATTTATGTGTATGTTCTCTGTAGGAGTAGTAAAGGTACGCATGTAGCTGTATGTGTATCATACAAACACGCATCAATAAGATAGTCTGGCCATCGGGCGCGTTTTGCTTTGCTTTGCAGTGCTCGATGATTTACGTTTCCAACCTTTTCATGTTCATGTTCATCTGTTCATGTATTCCGCAGTAGATTTAGGTGTTGAGTATCCGATGCCACCATCGATCTAATCTTTCTCCTTCTCGCTGCAAACCCAAGCTCCAGATTCATTCTAAAGTGATGTATGAAACAGATGAAAGCTTATTTATATATTCATTATTTGGCAAGTGCCAGCTTTTTTGTTACGATAAGCGTATATATCCATCACATGTATCAACATATATCGGCTATGGATACTCCCATGAACTGATTTCATTGCTACCACGCCGTACAATCACCGTACAGCAGTGCCATACACGGACCGTAATTCACACAGCACTTCAGCCGGACAAGCAGCCGCAGCCTGGTTTATCGCACCTACGCTTGAGGTCCACTTCCCGTCAGTCTTCGGCGCGGGAACGGCGGCCACGGCGCCGCAGGAGCCGCCGCCGCCGTCCCAGGCCCGCTGACACAGTAAACGGTGCCCGCGCATGCAATTACGCCATTCAGCACCGGTGCGCCACTGCAAACGGGGTCGTGGTGTGCCTCGCCGCGTCTCGTATGCAGCGCGGAAGCGAAAGTAGCCGCGCTCCCAATAGTGCGCGGCGCGATGGTCGCGGCGGGTCGGCCGGACGGGGGTCAGTCGGCCGGGCGGTGCCGACAAAAAGCCCCGCGCTCGGTCACGCGCGCACCCGGCGACCGGGCGGCCAGCCGCCGTCGCGGCCGTCGCCCGGGGCGACGCTTTCTCTTTCCGCGCTGCCGTGCGCCGCGCGCGACCCCGGATCGATCTTGAGGAGTAGGGGCTGCGGGGAGCTTTCCGCACTGCCGTGCGCCGCGCGCGACCCCAGATCGATCCTGGGGAGCCGGGGCTGCGGGGAGCTTTCCGCGCTGCCGTGCGCCTCGCGCGACCCCAGATCGATCCTGAGGAGTCGGGATTGCGGAGAGCTGGAGCGGCCAGTGACGCCGGGAGGCGGACGGTCCTGGGCCGCGGGCTTGACGTCGGTCTCCGGCCCGCTGAGTGTCGAGCCTGTCACTCGGAGCGGCTGGGAGTGGGGGTAGGGCTGCTGCTGGTTCAACGGCACTGAACTGTGTCCACCAAGCTCAGTCATGCAGTGTGGCCCCTGGCTGTTACATGTGATATTCCAGGTGACGCTGGACTCCACTAGATGTTGGCCCGTCGTACATCGATTCTCCCCCTTGTCACCTTTCCTATACGAATTGGTTGCCTTCAGTGACTTTAAACTGGGCCCCGTCATTTTTGTCTTTTTTAAAGAACAAATCTGAACGTTTTGAATGGAAGGATTTCTGGGCTCGGAGCTCACTCTAATCAGTGTTTGTTGTATGAGCCCTTACCCCTGCGACCCGGTCGTGCAAATACTTATGAACGGTAGAATTTGGCGGCGAAAGCTCAATGTGCCGCAATTTTCATTGAGCAAATGCAATTATTCGTCGCCTACGCCTTCCGCGTGCACTCGTATTATTGTACCGATACTCCTTGCGTTAAAGGAAGTCTTTAACATCTGCATGTTTTTAAAACTGAAATAGCCAATTTGAAGATCATTTAGTGCGGTTCACATACCTGCCTTCTTAAGACCTAAATCTTCTAGTTTCTGAGTTACACGCACGCAAAGATGTGCAGACTAAATCTGCAAACTACTTCAAGGCCATTCAGGCGTCATTCAAGTCTTGCCACCCCAAAATTCACGTAGCGTTGAAGGCCAAGAAGAATGTTCTCGTCGATCCGTTCAGATCTGGCATCTGTGAGCACGATTACTAAACAAAGTGGACGTCAATTGGATCTCAATCAATGTTGGGCGAGCTTCGCAAATTTGAATCACGGATCGCGCCTTGTGCTACAAAGTATAAGGAGTTGGACAGAATTGCTACTTATTACGAAGGTAAGACTTGCAACGGAATAACTTAAGAAAAGCGTCATAACCGAGTATGTAAATACAAGTAAACATCTTAAACTCAAGGACAGATATGCAAGAATACCGCGAGAAAGGGCCAAAACACGAGCGCATAACGATATTTGGCTTAGCGTACACTTCCAGCACCGCCACTGCCACATCTCGGCTAGTTGAAGCACTACACATGAGTGCTTTGGTGGCAATTTCGCTCGCTAGTTTAGCAGCACCTCATTGGCATACAAATTTCCCATGACGCAATCAAATAATAACGTATTAAGGAGCATATTTACTCAATAGAGAAGTTTTGATGTATGGAGCAGCCCTTTCCCTTAAAGTATACCAACAGTTATAGGTGTGGTTATTTTATCATACTTGACGTTTGCTTCAGTATCTTCAAATGTAAAACATTTCGCTTAAACGCCCGACGCGCGACTCTTTCAGATTGATGAATTACACACATTTGCGGTCCATGTCTCACCATCCATCTGCCCGTTTACTCTTTGTTCATTCGAAAAGCCCCCTGCCAATCTGTTCACCCGCATTCATTGGCTAGTTGTTCCCAACCACGGTGCCCATGCCGGTGCATCTGCCCGCCTATGCGGCCGCTCCTCCCCGTCTTCGCC